ACCTGCCGTTTGAATTGCAGAGAAATTTCCAACTCATGCGAGATCTGGACCAGCGAACAGAAGGTGAGTGTCAAGAATGAGGCCCGAAGTAATCTGCTTGCGTAGATGGGGAGCCTGGAGCTGGCCAGGTTTTCCTTCCCTTGCAGGTGGTGTTATGACAACAAGGCAGAGCTGGGAGCCTACAGCTACCTGAATCTGCCTTTCCCCGTTTGAATTGCAGAGAAATTTCCAACTCATGCGAGATCTGGACCAGCGAACAGAAGGTGAGTGTCAAGAATGAGGCCCGAAGTAATCTGCTTGCGTAGATGGGGAGCCTGGAGCTGGCCAGGTTTTCCTTCCCTTGCAGGTGGTGTTATGACAACAAGGCAGAGCTGGGAGCCTACAGCTACCTGAATCTGCCTTTCCTACCAGAGGGCACTGGGATATTTTTGACCATGAATCTGGTCTTGTTTCAGACCTCAAATCAGAGATTGATAAACTGGCCACGGAGTATATCAGCAATGCACGGACTCTGTCTTCGGAGGAAAAACTGGGGCTTCTCAAGCAAATTCAGGAGGCCTATGGGAAATGCAAGGAGTTCGGGGATGACAAGGTGCAGCTGGCCATGCAGACCTATGAGATGGTACGAAGAAGAGAGAGGGAGCAGAGTAGTGTCTAGGGGTTATAGCATGAAGGGCTGGGAGTCATGACTCACTAGTCACAACCTATTCATAGTGCTGGGTGGGGTTTTAATGCATTTGGAAATCCTTTGCTCCAGCCCCAGCATGGATGCCTGTCTCCTGTGTAGACACCACCTACAGTTGTCTCTCTGCTGAAACCCTTTCCCCTGTTCTTTCTAGGACTTTCAAGGTTCCATCCCATAATAATACACTGGCTTACTGTCATATCTGCAGGTGGATAAGCACATCCGCCGGCTAGACACAGACCTTGCCCGTTTTGAAGCCGACTTGAAGGAGAAGCAGATTGAGTCAAGTGACTATGACAGTTCCTCCAGCAAGGGCAAAAAGAGTGAGTCCCAGAGTCCAGCCACAAACTGATATGGAGGGGCCCAGGGAGCATGGAAGTGATGGAGCTGGAAGGGAGCAGGAGAGGAGGATGGCAGGAGATGACCCAAAGACACTGAAGTTGGGGTTTGAGAAGGAGCTAGAAGCCCAGCAAGTGACAAGGAAGTGATCCAGGAATGATGGAGAATTGTGTTGGGGTGTCACAGAGGCGATGATGGATGTATGTAGACCAAAGACTATGAAGGTGTGGAGGCAGGTTGTGTTAGTTCTGTAAAGGGGGCTCATATATAGGTCATATATAATATAGGTCATATATCTGTCTTGATGAGTGGAAGAGTTTAATGCTCATTTATTTTCCCCCATCCCATCAGAGGGCCGGGCCCAAAAGGAGAAGAAAGCTGCCCGTGCTCGCTCTAAGGGGAAAAACTCTGATGAGGAGGCACCAAAGATGGCTCAAAAGAAGCTGAAACTCGTCCGCACGTGAGTGACAGGGAGACTTAGGGAATGGGGAAGACCAGTGGATCCATCAAAGTTCCCCTTAATGAGAATCAAACCACAAGTCAAATCCCATCCTTTGTTCCCCTGGCTCCACCCAGATCAGGCCAGTTGGTTCCTCTGTCCCATTTGTCCCTGTTGTGCCTTGGAACAGTGAGAGCAAGAGCTTGGGTATCATGTCGGGGACTCCTAGGGAGTGAAATATCCGTTCCTCCACAGGCAGGTAAATGCCTCGAAAAGTCAGGTCCTTGCTGGGAGGACAGGACCTGGGATAGTGGGTTCTGCATGTGTCGTACATGAAGAAGGGTCTGTTTCTGTGTCTGTCATGCTAGAGGCAACAGCATAAGGAGCTTCCCCAGGGTGAAGTGAGGGGTGCCCCTGCCTTGGGGATTTTGCTGACCTTATTCCTCCTTTTCCCCTGCAGCAGCACAGAGTATGGGATGCCTTCAGTGACCTTTGGAAATGTGCACCCTTCAGACGTGCTGGATATGCCTGTGGATCCCAACGAACCCACCTACTGCCTGTGCCACCAGGTCTCCTATGGGGAGATGATTGGCTGTGATAACCCTGATGTAAGAGACTGGGCTTAGAGAGAACGGGGGAGAGGCACTCCTACTGGGAGTCTAATTCTGTTCATGTGGGCCCTGCTTATGTGGGGGATTCTCATTTTAGAGAGACCCTTAGGGGACAGACTTTAGGTACGTCTGGGATCCATGAGGAGGGAAGTCTTAAAACAGAATAGGAATTCAACGAGTTTCTCAATCCACTTCTCCAATCCTGTATATTGATGTTGTCACTTATGAGGAGACTATGTGATTGCCCACTGGGGGCGGGGTAGCTCCCAAAAGACTCAGCAGGGGAGGAAACTCGACTGTACAACTGACTCTGTATTCTCCATTCCACATTAGTGTTCCATCGAGTGGTTCCATTTTGCCTGTGTGGGCCTGACGACAAAGCCAAGAGGGAAATGGTGAGTGGGTGCTGAAATAAGGCCTTCAGAGGTTTCAGTGGGCTATGCATCACTGGGAAGTCCCATGAGTTCCTGGAGAGATGTTCTGCGGTGGGGTGACTATGGATGTTAGGAAGTGTTGGGATTGCATCTCAATGAAGAGTTATTGGGGATTGGCTTTTGTGGGTCTTCTGTGTGTGTGGTTGTATTTGGGGGGTACTAAGGAGGGTCCCATAGGCTTTGTGTATTGATAGGCCCTCCCACCCATGAACTTCTCCTTCTCTCTCCTTTCACTCCAGGTTCTGTCCTCGCTGCTCCCAGGAGAGGAAGAAGAAATAAAATCCCTTGTGCAGTGGCCAGAGTCCCATCTCTTCTGCCAGGGCATCATCAAGGATCTCCTAGCCCCTGGGGTCTTGAGGTTGGGGGGAGTCTTGTCCTGTTTGTGGTTCGGGTGACCTTTGAATGGCCTGTGCCCTCATGACAGTTCAAGTGTGTTCTGTATCCCCTTCTACCTTCAAATTCCCCTTGGCGGTCCTTTTTGAGTGCTGCTCTAGAACATGTCTCTGAATCCCAGAGGGAAGGAGGATAGCTAGGTGGCCCCCAGACTTTCAGGGGTAGGATGGCCCCATTTTCCTTGTTCACCCTTCACCCCACTTAGAGTCTGTTGCCTGCATCTCTTCTTGGGGAAGCCAGATTGAGGAATTACCTGAATGCCCGTGGGCAGGAGGTAAGTCTCCCGAAATGTCATAGGTTCCTAATTTTACTAGATCTCTCCTGGGTGTGGTGGTAAGCAAGCCACCTCTTCATTTGACAGTTGGCTGAAAAGACGGATTCCTTAGTCCTTCACTGCCCTACCTTACATTCCACTATTACCTTCAGTATCAAGTGATCTCTGTTGTATGTGGGAGAGGAGGATGTTTGGTGATAACCTGAGTCTCATTTATTCCCCTTCTGAGGGAGTATCTCAGGAATGAGTAGCATACTGTGTCTTGCAGGAAAGAGGAAACATTTGTGAGCTCAAGCGGTGTTGCCTATGTACCACTTGTGCTTCTCCCCTAGAGTCCCCATTCCTTTTGTTGTCCAAAATCCCCCTTGTAAAATATGGAATTAAATAAAAACCCATTGAAACAAACACCCCAGCATTTGCCAGGATCTGTGATTATGTGTCTTGGCTCTGACTTGTGGAGGATGACGTAGGAAACTTCTGAAGATTCCCTCCATGGGTAAAAGAGGTGTTGGTGGAAGATAGAGTTGCATTCTGCATTACCAAAAAAAAAAAAAACGATGTTAAAGTTACTGATAACCTAGGTGAATCTTTTTTGGTTTGCTGGCAATTAAAAAAAAATCAAATAAGTGTTGTCTTGGGTCAAACTGAAAATGAAAAAATTCCATTTTTCCATACATGCTAGGGAACACCATCTTCATCTTTTTCCAGTTCCTAGGGCTCGGGGCTAAAGGCATTCATGTTTATCCAGTTACTAGGGATTAGGGCATGATCTTCTGCAGGTTTGGGAGGCCTTTACCACAGAAAGAGCCTTACACAGTCATATCTTTTAACCTATGTTTGTTTATTAACAGTTATCAAAACAGAATTCACATGCTAAACATGCATTGCTCACCATTCCCAATAAGGCAGACAAACTTTTCCAGGTGGCCAGTCAGGATCAAGTCATCTGGGGCTCCTGCACAATATGGGTGGCAGGTTATTGAGGTCTGGCAACTCTAGTCTTGGGCATGTCATTCCTTCTGGACCCTAATTGTATAGTCAGACTCTAAGCCCTGCTTAGCTATACTGTAACATAATTTAAAAGGAAAGTATACAAAACAGTATTTCTCATCAATCCTAGCCCATTATAAAACAGTTATTTTAATCAGTCCTACTTTACCAACTTAGTTAATTTAAATCTTGCAACATTAGTTACTCAAGAGATACAGTTAAAGAATCAGAGTCTGTACATATAAATAATAAAGAAGTTGTGACCATAAAGGCAAACCAACAAAGAAGTATAGATTTCATAATCACAACAGTTGATAACTGATTTCTGGCCAGACAGAATGCTATCAAACAAAGTTTAAAGAAAACATTTTAAGATTTGTTCCTCTTCAAGTGCTTGCTTATGCTGATTCTATGCTAGATATGTGTGTGCCCACCCATGTACACAGCTGTCAGACTTTTTCTTTAGTGTTAACGGTAGGACCAGCTCTGATGCCTGCTAGAGTGCTCATTCACCAATATATTAGGCACCATGGGCCCTGTACCATTTCAGTTCCTTGTTAGTTGCTGGAA